GCCAGACAATTTAGTTCTTCCCCATATGTCCCTGGCACTTTTTGAACTGCTGTTCCTTTCCTGGGGCTAATGGTGCATGTGGATAAGTCCATTCTCAGACCCTTTAAGACACGGTATCGAACTCATTTTCACCAGGGGCCACATCAGCCTTGTGGTTGTCTTCAAAGGTCCAAATATAATTTTAGGACTGTATAAATGCAACTACTCCTTTAAAGTTAAGTGAGAGCTCGGTGCTGCCGCTGGGTAGAAACGTGGTGCTGGGCCGGATAAATCAAGGTGGAGGGTCGGATTTGGCCTTCGGGCCTTGTGTTTGCCACCTGTATGTTAAGAAGCCTGGATCTGCTGCAGCTCTATGTCTCACCTTAGAGGAGTCCCCACTGATTTTCACAGCCAGATGATGCGGAGACTCCTCTTTCTGGCTCTGGCACTCCAAGCTGGGGAACCTGGTGTGGTGCTGGGACCCTTTGCTCTTCAGAGGGTATCTCAGCAGCTGAGATATCCCTCCTGATTCTTAGTTGGCACATGTGGGTGCAGTGGTTTGAGTCTCCACCTTTCCTGCCAGTCTTGATGTGGCTTCTTTATATCCTTAGAGGACTTCTGTTCAGCTAGTCTTTGGATGGTTCTAAATGATTGTTGTTCTATAATTTAGTTGTAATTTTGATGTGGGTGTGGGAGAAGGCAAGCACAGCGTTTACCTACTCTACCATCTTTACCCCAAGTATAACTTCCTTGCAAGTCTTTTTGTTTCAAAATGGAGTCTGCTCAGAGGCATAGGATGGACCAGCTGGCTGTTCCTTCCCAATCTCGTACTTTAAGGAAGCTAAGGTATTTTCTTCCTTCAAGTGGTTTCCTCTTTCATATGAAAGTGATTGGTGATGGAATTGCCAGGCCCCAGCAATGGGTAGGTGAGGCTACTGGACCCGTTGAATCAGGGGAGGCTTCCAGGAGGAAATAGCTTTTAGTTGCCTCATGGAAGAAGCCTGGGAGGAGGCTTGAGTTTGGCTATATGTGGGAGAAAGGGATTTGATGCAGGTTGGCTGGCAGCCCATGCTTAATCTGAAGAGGCAGAATTTACCCCAGCTCCATAAGGATCCTTTTCTGCAAGCCACACCTGCCAGCCCTCCTTCCCTCTTAAACCTTGCAAGGGATGGGGTAGGGGCTGCAGTAAGTCAAACTCCATAATCACTTTATATAGGAAGAAGTGTTGCGGGAGGAAGGCTTAGAGCTATACTAGAAGGAGAACAAAATAAGATAAAAGATGAGTACTTGAGAGGATTCATGGGATCCCTTTCTTTCAAGGCCTTTCAAATTGAAGAGGTTTCTTTGCTTTCAGGCTCCCCTTAGCCACAGTGGTGGATAGATGGCCTTTGGAGTCTTCTTTGCCAGTTGGCATGTGACACATAGGCTCTGCAGACCATCAGGAAATGCTTTTTTGTAGAACCTATACAACTGAATTTGAGGTTGGAGAGAGGCAGGACCCAGGTAGATGAGGTTGAGTGTAGTTAGGCACTTTGGTGGGCACAAATAAAAGAGCCTGCAGATCTGGGAGCAATCACTTTCCCATACATGGTCCTCAATGCCCACATCAGACCTCATTATTTGAGCAGATAGAAATCCTTGGTTTTAGTTCAGCCTCAAGGCTGACAGGCATGGTGTAGTGGTTTGAGAGCTGTAGCCAGTCCTAGAAGAAAAATTATTTCTTTGGCTTCTTTCCTTGAGAAGGTTTGTTCAGGCCTTGAACTTTGGGGATACCCAGGAACCTCTACCATCCACCAGGCATTTGGAAGGATCAACTTTCCTAAGGGAGGAAAGGGTCTGGGGCCCCTGCCCAGGAGGATCAAAAGATGAGTCAACCAGCATTCAGCCAAATAAATATCTGCTGAGTCAAATTCCATAGCATGTCTGTTTGGCTGGGGAGGATGCTTTCATGGCTGGGAAGTGAGCCATGCTTAGCCTGGTCTGAGGCATAGGCCTCTCTCAGCATGTTCTGGGCTCTTCCTCCTCTAGGTTGTTCCAGTTCCTCACACTGAGTTCTCTTCTTCACTGTTCACACCAAATTCAAATAATTAATTCACTGATTTGCTTTCCCACTGAATATGAGCTCTCCAACTCATTAATGACTATGTGATTAGTCCCTTGTTTAGGGCATGACACCTAGTAAGATGCTCAAGAAATCTGTGTGCATAAATAATCAATAACATTGGGTGGTCTGAGCTAAATGCCTCTGAGTAAAACAGACAAGGATGTTACAGGGGTTCAGTGGAAGGAGCCATCACTGTTGTCCTGGGTCCTAAGAAAATGCTTGTGAAAGACATAAATTAGCCTTGATTTCCACTACCTTGAAATCACTTGAACCTGTTTTCCTCACTTAGGACAAATAAGGGTGGCATTTTCCAAAATTGATCTGTTTTCTCTCCTACAATCTAGTAATCTACTTCATCATCTCCAAGTATTTTGTGATATGCTGGAGCTGACTCCCAATGGCTTGGGAGAGCAAAGCATGCTCATCTCTTCCCCACACACCTTGCATTGGTAGCTTGAAATTGCTCACCATGAGAGACATTGACAAACACTACAAACCAGTCCTTTTTCACCCTGGAGGAGACAGTTAGCAAGTTTTATCAGCACACCACCTACCAACTACTTATTCATGTCCTTCTTTCCTTTCTTTTTCATTTTTTCTTATTTATTTGTTTGTTTGTTTATTTGTTTATTTATAGAGAGGGGAAGGGAGGGAGAGAAAGAGGGAAAGAAATACCAATGAGTTTCTTTGTTGCTTCTTGAATGCCCCCTACTGGGAACCTGACCCACAATCCAGGCATGTGCTCTGACTGGGAATCGAATGGGCGGCCCTTTGGTTTGCGGGTTGGCTCTAAATCCACCGAACCACACCAGCCAGGGCCTCTTCCATTTTCTTAACTTTTCTCCTTCCTATCTATCTTTCTTCCTCTTTTCATTTCTGCCTTTTCCCCTTCCTTTTTTCATTTATCTTATCTGATTTGCCAACTATGTATTCATTCACCTATCCATCCATCCATTCATTCATCTATCCATCCATGAATGTTTTCTGAGTATTTACTCTTTGTCAGTTTATTCCCAAGGCTCAGGATTATTTCCCAGACTTCTGGAATATAGGTACATTAACTCCAAGGACTAGTGGAGGCCTCCTAATGCAGCACCTCAGACTCAGCCAGCATTGGTGTTGGGTCCATAAACAGAACACTTTGGTTTTCCTCTTTTGCTTCTTCTTGGCTTCTCTGCTCTTTCCTCTTTATAGCCTGTTCTTGCAGGGTTGGGAGACACCATCAGGAGAAAAAGGGAGCATATCCCCATCTAGCAGACCAGGGCAATACTGTTCTTTCTTTACCTTTCCCTCATGCCTCTGGCCAGAGCCCAGTGGAATTGGGTCTGACTGTTAGAGAAAGGATTCCCAACCCTAGAAGGCTGCATGAGCTTTTAGCCAATGACCAGTGAGTTAAAATAAAAGGTGGCTCCTGTGGAGCTCCAGAACAGAGGCATCAGGCAAAAGGAATCCCCATTATTAATCTAGCACTCTACACCACCAATACCACTCCACACCTCTTAAAACTCTGACTGATCTGTGAACCAAGCTTGTCTCTACTTTTGTTCCCAGGGATGTTATTGTAAGGATTAGCAGGATTAGCTGTTCAACCTGGTGAGCCAAAGGGGCAGGGACTCCTGAGGTTGACCTGGATTCAAAGGTAAGGGAGGGAAACCCACTACTCTACACACCACCCAGGACTCTACTCTACCTGCCACCCCAGGCACACCCACCTGCTGTTCTGTCCCACCCAGCCCATCTGGGGAGAGACACAGCCCTTTACTCAATAGGGAGGCTTCCCGGGGCTATGGCAGTGGATCACAGCCTATAAGTGACCAGATGGCATATCCTGGCAAGTGATCCTGCAGGTAGTCCAAGAAAGAAAAATACTTTTTCTTACTTTTCTTCCTGAGCTCTGCATTCATATAATAGTCATACTTGAACAGCTCACTTTTGAAATAATCTGAATTCCACACTTCAGTGGCCTCTTTTTGGAGGGTATTGTCTGTGGCCTGGCTCAGAGAGGGTGGGCAGGTTTTTTTCTGAGTCACACAGCAAACCACCTACTGTGGAGACAGAGGAGAATTAGTGTTTGGGCCCTGAGGACCCAGCCACTTGGCTGGCATTGCTTGCATTTCCTCATAACTGTTGCTTTGTCTTTCAGATCCAAGCAAGCTCTGACCTGCTCTAACAGAAAATAATGTAAGGTCTGTATGTATTTTGTTAGGGCTGCTGGGACAGGCATGACTTTCAGAAGCCATCTTACATTGAAATATTTAGGTGGCTCCATGATACCCTTAGCTAAAGAAGGAAATTTAGCCTCTCAAAGGCCTAGGGTTCAAATCTTAGTTCTGCCGATTGATTTAGGTCAGTGAGGTATCTTCTTAGACCTTAGAAAAACTCAGTTTTTTCATCTATTAAATAGGGATTATTGAACAGGTTATGTACCTAGGACAGTGCCTGGAAGTTGGCAAGTTGGGTTAAATAATCAGTAGCCACTTCATTCCAGATCCTAAAATCCATATCAAACTGAATCCATCATTTCTGTTTATGATGAGAAGCAATTCTACTATTCCAGGGCAGAGAATGTCTCCTCTGGAATCCAGGCCCACAAATTTCAAAGCTATTTGGCTTGTATGACCCAATGAATAGTCCCCATGGGTCTCTTCAGACACCCCAGCTTTTACCCCAGGGGGCCCTCAGCTGAGCAAAGCCTGCCAACCTGTGAGGATAGAGGCTCCCCCACTTTCCTGATGAGAAAAAAGGTGCATGAAAAGGAAGCAGCCCAGCTGGTTGCTTAGCTGTGGAAAATAATTAAACTGGGGAAGAAAAAAACACTTCTCCTGAAAATCAAGTTAGGTATGAATGCGCAGGGTGTGGCCCTTGCATAATTAGCCCATCTGCTTGTAAGGCGCCCTTGTGTCAGGTTTGCACCTCTCTATTCCTCCTGCTACTCCCTGTTCCTGTAGGTGTGTCTCTGGGCTCTGTGGCTGCCTGTCCCACTTCCCGCTCAGACTCCCGCCAGAGAAGTCACCACCCTGCAGCCTCGGTGAGCCTGAAACAGACCAGCTAAGTGCCTGCTATGGAAGCTGCAGATGCCTCCCAGAGCAATGGGGCCAGCCCAGAATCCAGGGAAGCCCGCAGCCTTCCAGTCCCCACCAGCAGTCTGGAGAATGGGGCCAAGGCTGATGGTAAAGTTGCCAAGACCACCAATGGGCATGGTGGGGAGACAGCTGAGGACAAGAGCTTAGGCAGCACCCTGAAGCCAGGTGAGGGAAAGAGCTCCCTGTTCTCCGGGAATGAGTGGCGGCGGCCCATCATTCAGTTTGTGGAGTCCGTTGATGACAAGGGCTCCAACTACTTCAGCATGGACACTGGGGAAAGCAAGAGATCTCCCTATGCTGGGCTCCAGCTGGGGGCTGCCAAGAAGTCACCGGTCACCTTTGCTGAGAAGGCGGAACTTCGCAAGTCCATCTTCTCAGAGCCGCGGAAGCCTGCCTCGCAGATCGCAGAGCCTGGCGATGTTCGAAGGAACAGCTACCCTCGGGCGGACACAGGCATCCTCCTGCACTCCAAGCTAAGCTCAGAGGAGGTCCTGTGTGACTCCTGCATTGGCAACAAACAGAAGGCTGTCAAATCCTGCCTGGTGTGCCAGGCCTCTTTCTGTGAGCTGCACCTCAAGCCCCACCTGGAGGGTGCTGCCTTCCGTGATCACCAGCTGCTTGAACCCATTCGGGACTTCGAGGCCCGCAAATGCCCCCTGCATGGCAAGACCATGGAGCTCTTCTGCCAGACGGACCAGACCTGCATCTGCTACCTCTGTATGTTCCAGGAGCACAAGAATCACAGCACCGTGACTGTTGAAGAGGCTAAGGCCGAGAAGGAGGTAACTTACTGGGCCCCTCACTGGCCCTCCAGGCCTTCCCTATCTCACCACTGGTGTCTCTCCATCTGATCTCCTCCACTGGGGATTTCTAAGATTAGGGGCTTCAGACTTCACTGTACCTAGCTCATTTTTGTTTCTGCATGCCCCCAGACTTGGGGTCAAAGACAGTTCCTCAATCCTCTAAGGCATCAGGAGATAGGGACTTTTCCTAGGTGAGCAAATACAGGCTGAGAAAAGATCATAGGATAAGTTCAAGTCCGTAACAGAATCAGTACTTAATCCTGAGCTCTGTGCCTTAGCTGGAGTCTTCCTTCCTTCCTTCCTTCCTTCCTTCCTTCCTTCCTTCCTTCCTTCCTTCCTTCCTTCTTTCTTTCTTTCTTTCTTTCTTTCTTTCTTTCTTTCTTTCTTTCTTTCTTTCTTTCTTTCTTCTTTCTTTTCCCTCTCTCTCCTTTCTTTCTTTTCCCTCTCTCTCCTTTCTTTCTTCTCTTTCTTTCTTTCTTTCTTTCTTTCTTTCTTATTTCTCTCTTATTTATTTGTTTTATAGGTAGGATTTGGCCCCAAATTTTATCTGAAACAAAGGTATGACCAGTTAAGAAAAGCCCAAGTGCCCCTGGAGGACAAGAAGGGCCTTGGGTAGCTCTCCTTGGGGGCCCCAGGAGCTTGGAGTTTATGCCCTGGCACTGGGGACTGTGTAACACTCAAAGACACAGTCCTGGCCCCTGAAGGATCATGATGCAGGTCAGCAGGTAGAGCTCAGACACACAAACAAGTTGGAGCATCTGCCTTGTTACACCATAGTAGCTCTAGGTAAACATCAAATCATAGAGGACAGAATGCCAGGCTGCATGGAATATTAGCAATCTCATCTGTCTCCCCTTTACCTTGCAAACAGGAAACAAGCCAGAGAAAGGAAGGGATCCATCTAAACTTATACAGTTTGAGCAAGAATCCTCCTAAGTTCACTTCCAGTATCTGAGAAAAGCATTGAAGGGATAGGATTCAGAATATGTACGCTTTACAGGAGCTTTCAGGGAAAAGCACCTATCTACTAAAGTGATTTTAATGGTGGGAGCTTCATGTAGCAACGTGTGCCATCAGCATAGGAGTAGATAGGAAGGAGTGGTGCTAACCAGCCAGGAGACTGAGATGGGACAAAGCAATTTGTCTAGGCCTGGCTCTGCTAGAATGCCAGAAGTGGGGGACATTGGCACAGAGTGGACTTACATCAATCATGGCATCTTTTGAAGGCATCTCCTTCAGACCCAAACATCAGCCCCCACACAGCTTTTTACAAGGAGCTCTGTCCAGAACCTGTTATACAGGCTGGCTGGTGAGAACCCAGGTTAGATCATCTGAGGACTATTGTAGTTAGCTACATGAAGCTGTACATGACACAGGGCTATGGGTGTTCATCTGCTGGGCCTCAGCTCTACCTATAGACTCTGAGCAGAGGCAGTGTTGGCGCAAGGTCACTTGGTATGGCAATAAGACAATCTTTTCTTTGGTGGACCTGAGATCACAATATTTTTTATTTCACTCTAAACGTCACAGTGAGTCCCACAGATATCATCTTGTCTGCCACCTCTGCTTCTGGACATTTCCCAGGCTAGATTATGCTGATAAAATTTACCATGTACATGTGCATCCTTTCCTGTGTCTACCCGAGTCCCTCCTACTGCATTCAGTTAGGGTGGACTCCCCATGGTGAATGGCTGCCTGCTCTGGGGCAGCCTGCCTGGCTTCTGCACCCACCAGTGTCCTTTCCCTGTTTTGGGTCAAGGCTAGGCTCTTGGTTGAGAACATGGTAAACCACATGTGGAGTAGCACTCAGTTCAGCATCACTCTGGAGGCATGAGCGCCTTGCTCCTCAGTGAGGCTCAGACTTAGCATTTCAGCTACACTTCCAACTTCATCATTTGGCTCACTTTGTTACTCTGACTGTGCCCCATAGCTTTGCTTCTTACCTCGTTGTCTGTTCCTCCATGAAAATTGAGCTGCTAGGCTGCTGGGCATGGGCAGTCACTGGACCTACAGCCTTAAAGGCTGTGCTGGTATAGGCAAGAAAGCCCTTTGGACAGATGACAGTGACTGGGGTTTAAGAAGAGAAGGCAGGCTAAAGGCCTTGGATGTGATGGAGGGGCTGGGAGGACTTTTCCAGGAGATTTTTGGGGAGAATTCTTGCTCTAGGACAGGGTAGGTAAGAAAAGGATGTGGGATGATTTCCATGGGTGCTGAGAGGGAAACAACAAAATACAAGAGGTTTAGAGATAGGAGGCAGAGGAAGAAAGTGAAGAACAAATGGGCAAGACACACACCAGTTTTTATCTATGTGCTAAGAACTGGTCTTGACATTGACATGATTGCTGATGACAACAGTCCCACGTGGTGGGGGTTACCACACTAATTTTATAGATGAAGAAATAGGCTCAAAGATGTCAAAAACTTACCCAAAGTTTGTCAGTCCTGGGGACTGGCAGTACTGTGGTTCAAACTATTAGTGTACCTGCAGCCCAGGCTGTTTCCTCTCCACCATTTTAAACTTTATTTTCATAGACTGGCAGGCTGTCCTTGGAGACACTGAGTCCAGTGGCTTCTAAAAACTAATCCCTGACCTGAATTGCCTGATGAATTGTTAACACACAGATTCCTGGGCCTTACCTCACAAGGTTTCGAACCAGGGCGTCAGAGCCTGGGGTCTTTATTTAAATTTTATTTTATTATTATTTTTTAATTTGCATTTTAACCATTTTTTTAAAGATTTTATTTATTTATTTTTAGAGAGGGAAGGGAGGGAGAAAGAGAGAGAGAGAAAGAGAAACATCTATGTGCGGTTGCTGGGGGTCATGGCCTGCAACCCAGGCATGTACCCTGACTGGGAATCGAACCTGCGACACTTTGGTTCTCAGCCTGCACTCAATCCACTGAGCTACGCCAGTCAGGGGCTTATTTTGTTTTTTAAAAAATATTTTATTTATTTTATTTTTAGACAGAGGGGAAGGGAAGGCGAAAGAGAGAACATCAATGTGTGGTTGCCTCTCATGCAACCCTCACTAGGGACCCGGCCCACAACCCAGGCATATGCCCTGACCAGGAATCAAACCATCAGCCCTTTGGTTTAACCTGTGCCCAATCCACTGGGCTATAACAGCTAGAGCTGGGATCTTTATTTTTAAGACTCCCATGGGGACTCGAATGTGTTGCCAGACTGCGAATCAGGGATCTAGTTCATCTTCACCAGTAGAAAACCAAGGCCCAGGAGAGTAGATTACTTCCTCAAGGGCCACATCTTGTCTAGAGATGATCTGGGTGATGTTCTTCCCACCCTATTTTATGCTTTACCTGTCCTAACACCTGAGGGAGAAGAAGGAAATATAAGCCCCAATTAAGCAGAATAATAATGGGCTTGTTGACATTTGAGTAGAAATATGGAAATCTATCTAGATTTTCAGATTCTTATCTAGCTAAGATTACTATTTTTCTGAGAGTACAAATTTGGCAATTAACTGGCTCATTTGGCAAATGTCACAGTCAACGGCCCATGTTAATTTGGTCAGAAGAAGATCACAGCCTGATGTCCAATCTCCCCTCTACTGAGGGCAGTGCAAGAACATATGTCTAGGAAAATATTCAGCTGTGTCTGCACCTGAAGGCCCCATTCAAGCTGAGACACCATCAGCTGCTGTGCCACTTTCTACTTGCAAGGAAACCTCTGATTTCAATGCTGAGTGGCCCACACAGGGCCTGTCCCAGGCACCAGAGAGGCAACCATACAAGTGTGGAAGAGGGAACAAAGGAGGCATTTAGGGACAGGCCTGAGCAGGGTGAAAAGAATGAAGTGGGTATTAGGAGAGAGTCAGGAAGGAGGGGTAGATAGGGAGCTGTGAGAAGCTGAGGCCCCATCAGACATCAGAGGCTTTAATCACCTACCAAGGGAGGAGGGACAGAGGGAGAGAGAGAGAGCTGGGGCTTTAAGTGGCACAGAGAAGGGTATGGGGAGGAAAGGAAACAACAAGAGAGAGATGGACTCACCTGTGAGGTGAGAAAGCCTGGGTGAGCTGAAGTAGCAGGAGTGGAAGGAAGGATGATGCCCTGGAAGGTACAGAGAACAGGCTGGAGGTTAGGAGGCCACATGGTAGAGTAAGAGAATTGTTGCATCTCAGCTTCACCACATGCCAGCTGGGAGAACTCAGACAAGCTGTGCTGTCTTTCTAGGCCTTGGTTTCTTCATCTGTAAAATGGGGATAACACTACTCACCTTCACAGTGGGCTGTGCACATTAAAGGAGAAATGCCTGGCACATAGTAGGTTCTCAGTAATACAATTAGTATCCTTTCTTCCCTAGTGTTACAGAAGAACCCAATATCTTCGGAATCTTCCTATGTTACATTATTTTCTACATCCTGTCTTTCTAGCAGGGGTATTGACAAGAGGTAAACAGAAACTAGATAGATCTCCAGAGGTCTCACTCCAAACCCTCCTCATCCTAGAGGTGAGAAAGGACTGCTCTAGGAGCACAGAGTTTCCAGTCTAAGATCCCTTACAAGACCCCACTGTGTTCTGCAATTCTGGTCTCTCAAGGTATGCTGTGGTAGCAAGGCCTCCTCCCAGCCTGTGTCCAACTTCCTTAGTGTGCCACAGAAATAAGACTATTCTCTCTATGCTAACTGCTTCTTCCACCCACTTTTGACTGCCCTCACATGGTTCTAGACCAGCCACTTCCCCCTCCTACCCTGGTATTGACAGACACCTTTCCACACCTCAGCTAGCTTTAGTCTTCCCTCCCTCTTACACAGGATGGGCTCCTGTGTAAGGACTGACTCCCTCTGCCCTTGGCCTAGGCTTTTATATTTTTCTAAATGTCATCAGATTCTCCCTCATCAGTGCTCAGTTGCCTTATTCCCTCCTCTTTGCCAGTGAATCCATTCTTGTCTGGGTACGACCTTTCCTCACCTGTAGGCCTTGATGCAACCTCATCCTTCCCATCCTCCATAGCTCCCAGAAGGTCTCCCTGAGCACTTAAGCTCACTCCAGATTCTTAACTACTCTGGCCTTCACCTTTTCTGAACAAATCTCCTACTTACAGGTAGTTAATCTACCCTCACCCCTTTTTTCCTACCTCCATACTGGTTTCCCTAGTGTCCTCCATACCTCAATTATCCGCAATGGAAGCCTCTACTTTGCACTTTTGATCTAAGTCTCAATATCCTGGCCTTTCTATGCACATTTCATTCTGTATCCTGACAGTATACATGTTGCACCTGGACCCCAATGCAGTGACACATGCTGCACTCATTACTAAATGCCAAGGTTTCACTTGATTATACTTGTCCACTGCCTTCACTTACTTGTGCCCTACTGGCTTGCCTGCCACACTGCACCTAACACTTTGGTGCATGGAAGGTGCCACAACAGTGACACTGGGATCACTATTCAGTTCTTTCTCCATACCAGGCACCTTCAGAGGGCTTTATGCCCTGATTCTAGTTCATCCCACAGCCTCCTTGGGAGGCAGTCCTCTTCCTATCTCCATGAAAGGTGGAGAGTCTGAGGCACAGACAAGTTAGTCACTTTGCAAATACCACCTGCCTGGAGGTGATGGTAACTGAATTTAAGCCTTTGGCTTCCCAGCCCTGTGCTCTGGGTGGACTCCCTCCTGGGTTCCCCATGCTAATTTCATGGAAAGCCTTCCCTTCCCCCCACTCCCACCAGGTCTGAGGTGGGAGTGCATGAACTTTTATTCTCTGCTTTCCTGTCTATCAAACCTTGTTTAGGGGATGGTGAGGTGGGGATAAGAAACTTAAGTGCCAATTTCTCTACCCCTGAGCTAGTGGGAGGGAGGGTTCCAGCTGTCCCATCAACTTAGGCCAGTGTGGGAGTTCTCTAGGGATGGAAGAGTTGTCTGGGACAGACCTGTTATCCAACCTCTTGGTTCCTTCCTCACAGCTTGTATCTGCCTTTCAGGTCCAGACTTCTTGGGACTTTCCAGTACCCTGGCTTTGCCAACACGGTTCAGGACTCTTGAGCTCTACATCTTCAGACAGTGTGAGGACTGAGTCTCTGCTGTCCATGATGGGGTCTTCCTTTGCTCTCTATCTTCCCACCACTGTGGCCAGCTTCCTCCTCAGCCACTTTCCAGAGACCTGGCCAAATCTCCATACTCTCCTTTATTTATTTCTTCCTCTTGACAACAATTTTCCATCTCTGGTGAGGCATTTTCCATGCTGTGGGATTTCCAGCTTATTGCTAGAAGGGCAGATGCTTTCTGAGAAGAAACTGTAGTCGCCTAGCTGGAAAGCCCAGGAGTATGTTTTTGGCTGGGAGGTGAAATCAAGCACTTTCTGATGGGGAGCTCTGCAATGCCTGTCCCAGGTCTTTTCCACCTTCTCTACTAGCATCCCAGCTCTCTAGACACCTTTTCCAAACAATCCAGGGAAGTTCTCTCCACCATCAATTCACTTCCCTAGTGTCTGAAGAAGGTTCTCCATCAGCAAACCCCTTGGTTATGTGAAATGTTCAGGAAGTGTGACATGTGGGGAAATCTGTGCCCAGCTGCTCAGGACTCCTTGCTGATGAAGTTCATATTCCTAGTAGTTTATGGCTTCCTCTTCTTGACTGTTCTTGTGGATTCCTCAAAGAAATGACTGGAGAAAGGAATGGCCTCTGCATTTAAAACCCAGTGTAGCAAGGAGACCTGGTACACTCCAAGGCTTTCTCAATGACTTAGTTTTTCTGCCTGTTAGGTGGATATCACCCACTTGTTTTCCAAGCTGGAAGGTGCTTTCAGAGCGTTAGTGGGGAACCCAGCAGAGAAAAAGGTGCCCCTTGGCTTGCCTGAACTGAATTGACCTTAGCTTTATGGCTTTCCTTTTGCCTTTATTGTAGCTGCTTTTCAGAGTAAGTCATTTTTCCAAATGGAGGGATGTATGGATATTAAGAGCTCATGTCCCAGCACATTTCTGATAAATCTTCTCAACCTTCCTCAGACCCCAACACTCTGTGTTCTGCTCTTGAGCAGGGATCCCTTCAATCTCTCCTGCTTTTCCGGCATCTACCCATTACTGCCTCACTCACTAAATCAAGTTTCTATCTTGTCCAAACTGAAGATTGCATTCCTTTTTTCCATTAGCAAGTTTATAGCTATGCCTGCCCAGACAGAGTCCTCTCCAGCAGCAAACCTGGCTCCAGTTTGCAACATAGGCCTCATGTCATGCCATAAAAATGTTACATACTGTTTTTGCCACAGGACACTCCCTGGGCTGGGCTGGACTGGGCTAGGTTAGGCCAGGCTGATCTGGGCTAAGTCCCCTTCCATCCCTTAGCCTGAAAGAGGCAGGAGCTTTCCTCCCTCTTCTTAGTGGCCCCAGGTCCATTGAAAGGAGTGGAAACCCCATAAATGGGCCTTCTTCAAGTTCACATTGGGTGGAAAGGACTTGCAAAGGTTTAAACCTTTTAAAGATATGGTTGGGATGTCCAATCCCAGAGGTCTGAGTTTACAATGAGACAATGTTTTGGATCTTTGGCAACTGGCACAGTGCCTGGCCTATCTGAGGTCCCAATGAGGGTTTGCTAAATGAGTGGCTGGGTGGATGAGTGAGCTCTGCCAAGTTAACTCCTCTGGCAGGATCCCTCCCTAATTCTTCCACCTCTTTCCCTTGACTTTTTCACCAACCCTGGCCCTTCCTTGCAGACAGAGCTGTCACTGCAAAAGGAGCAGCTGCAGCTCAAGATCATTGAGATTGAGGATGAAGCTGAGAAGTGGCAGAAGGAGAAGGACCGCATCAAGGTAAGCAGTCCCCCTGGCCTCTCCCTTGCTGTACTCTTACTCACCCTGTACTCCTAGAAGGAGGCAGACCTCCTGTTTAAGGTAAGCCCACATTTACATCCTACACTTGTTTGGCTTTGGATTTTTCCACTTGCTTTAACGTTCCTATCAATTTCCCTTCTAAGTCTGGGTCAGGCATCCAGGTAGAATCTTGTCCATCACCTAAAACTCATTTCACATTATACCAGGAAATAACAACCTTAGAACAACCTGTCCTCAAATGTTCCCATTGTCTGCTTGGTCCACCAGACTACTCAAACATCAAATGCTTACCATTTCTTGTTTTCTTGTGCCAATGTGGCTAGAGGTATGTCTGCCAAGGTTCAAGTAATTGTGAACCGCAGTATGAAATTATTGACTCATGACCCTGGCCACATAAACATCCATCAATTCACTTTCTGAATGAGGTTTTGTTCTGATTGAGGTTTCAATGAGCATACCCTGACTCATGCAGGCACTTCTGGGCCCATAGAATTGCACAAGGGTGGAGTGATAGTAGGGAAGGAGCCACAGATAGATTAGGAAAGGTGGGCTATAAAAAACCTGGCCATCTCTTTCAAAAATGGCATCTTTCAATGATGTGTTGAATGAAAATTTTGGCCAAATAAGCTTGCTGGGTTGGGATAGCCTGACTGTGTTGGGAACCTAAAGGTACATAGGAACCTATGAGAAGGAAACCATAAAGAAGTTTTTAAACTCTCCTTCCCCTATTCTCTCACTCTGAACCTAGAGTTTCACCACCAATGAGAAGGCCATCTTGGAGCAGAACTTTCGGGACCTGGTGCGAGACCTGGAGAAGCAAAAGGAGGAAGTGAGTGCTGCACTAGAGCAGAGGGAGAAGGATGCTGTGGACCAAGTGAAGGTGATTGTGGATGCTTTAGATCAAAGGGCCAAGGTGCTGCATGAGGACAAGCAGACCAGGGAGCAGCTGCACAGCATCAGTGACTCAGTGCTGTTTCTCCAGGTAACAAGCAACTCTTTCATCATTCAATCCCTCAGTCCTCTCATCCACTTTCTCATACCTTCATTGATTATCTATCCATACTCCATTTCATCAATCATTCATCCATCCAAGCTCCCCCATCTATCCATTTAATTTTTCTCTCCAAGCCATTTCCCTACCTAATCCAAAGATGCACACAAAAATCACCTTGTACCAACCTCAATTGATATGCACCAACAGTGCCCCAACACAATAGAAAAAGTTCTGTGATTGATTAGTGATGCCTGCTTTGGCTACAGGATAGTGGCAGGTAAGTGTTGCTTATTTGTCATCTTTGATCTTGTCTATTTATTGAGTCATTCATCCACCCTTCTATTTGCTAATGTGTTTTGGGTACTACTGCATGACTAGTACTCTTATTAGGGGTTTGAAGAATAAATTAAGAAGAATCCGACAGTAACCAGAGGGGAGGTGGGAGGGAATAAAGGTGGGGAAGGGGGGAAGAGTTTTCAGGAACAACTATAAAGGACACATGGAAAAATCCAAGGTGGGGGTGGAAGCAGGTGAGTGAGGTGGGGATGCCTGGGGTGGGGGAAAAATGCAGACAGATATATTTCAACAACGATAAAGTAATTAAAAAAAGAATAGAGAACTATAAGCCATGGTTTTTCCCCCCAAGGAGCCACATCTAACTGGGAAGACAAGACATATACAATTAGAGAACAATGTATAAGACTGTATAATTACATGATAAAATGTGATTCAGGAGATAAGTGCCTGTGGAAGCTGTGAGAGGTGCAAGAAGACATGAGTAATCTAAGACAGCTTTGTGGAGAAGGTAGAATTTGAACTGGCTCTTGAAGGCCCATTAGAATTTGAGAAGAAATAGAGGTTCTTTGGTGAGGGGTAGGGGAAAGGAGAGGTGCAAAAGTATTGGGTCAGGATTGTGTGTGGCATGTAAAGGTGGAGATACAAACATGACCAACACACAATGTTCTAGTAATTCTTTGCATTTCTTTAGCACTTTCACTCTCAAAGTATTCACAGCTCATTTCACTCTCCAAAACCCTATGAGATAGGCATGATGTACCCAGTGTTGGAGGTGGGAATTATGGAGCCATATATCTGACTGCTAGTCCTAACAGAAATGTTAGCATCTAGTGTATTTTAGTCAAACCATTTCATTTTACAGAAAGAGAAGCTGCTATCCCCAGTGATGAGAAATGGGGCTAATAAATAGCAGAGCTGGATCTAGAACCCAGCATCTCTGGATCCCAGTTCTGAGTCTCCCAGCTGGTCTGTGACAGCCCTTTGCAGAAAAGTATCCCCCCAAACTTCTAAAAACCCCAGAGGTTAATGGCTTCTTTCCTTTCTTGGTAGGAATTTGGTGCATTGATGAGCAGTTATTCCCTCCCACCTCCCCTGCCCACCTATCATGTTCTTCTGGAGGGGGAGGGCCTAGGGCAGTCACTCGGCAACTTCAAGGACGACCTACTCAATGTGTGCATGCGTCACATTGAGAAGATGTGCAAGGCAGATCTAAGCCGTAACTTCATTGAAAGGAACCATATGGAGAACGGTAGGTCCCCTCTTGTGGGCAGACCCTAAGGCCATGGGCATTTTTCTTCTAGGTCAATCCTTGCTGCCTGATACAGGCTGGCATCCTCCAACTAACCCCTCATTGTTCCCAGTCACCTATTGCATCTAAGGTGCTGGTACTAAGATTCAGGGATTGTAGCCCCTCATTGAACTTGCTGCAAAAGCTAGACAGCCATTACAGGGGCCTCCAGGGTAAGGAACACCTAAGCACTGGCTGCCCATATGTCTCTTTTCTGCGGTTGTCCATCAAACTCAGTGACCGGTTTTATTTAGACCCACATTTGATTGTCAGGTCCAATCCAGCAGCTGTGTAGATGCTGCCACTTGTAAGGGCCAGACTCTAAACTGGTAGCTTTGCAGACTCCAGTAAATGTGACCTAGAACTGTGCTTGGAGGGAGAACTTGCCATGACTGTGCTGAGTGGTGTTACACCCAGAGGCTGGGTGGGGCCAGGATAGGGAGAGTGGAACACAGAATGTCTCAGTGACTCACCAGCTCCCCTGAAGTCAGCTTCTTTTCTGAGTCATGCTGCACCCCACAGAGGCCAACTGAACAATCTCACAGAAAGCCTCTGAACTTGAGAGACTACCCTGTTAAATCTTTTCCACCAGTCCCAACCCAGTCCTTTTAGCTCCTAAAGCCTGGACGCTTTCCCCAAAGCCCCACCCAGTGCCAAGGCCAACACAAGCCTTGAGGACACAGCTTGATTAATGAATTTTGGCCCCAGGAACACCAAAGTAAGTGACCTCTGCTTTGGTCTGCAGATGGAACATAAGACTTTTGGGGGCAGAGAAGGGGATAATAGTGTGCAGGGTTTAGCAGGACACCTGTATATTTTGGAGATGGTGACATCACAGTGTCCCTGTGAAACTGTGGGACATCAAATTACACCTGAGGACTGAAGCCATTGCAGCAAGAAAATCTCTTGGCTTTAAGTGGAACTCAGCTCCTGAAATCTTCCTTGTAGTGACAGTGGCAATGGTGACAGCTGGCAGAGATTGAGTACAACTGTATGCTGGCTTTCTGAAATCTCCTCACTCACAAAATCTTTTCCCTGTGGGTTGTATTGCATTTGTGTTTTATACTCTGCTATTCAACTTCCCATATCTTCTCATCTGAGAAGATACTAGTGCTGGTGGCCATGCAGAGGATTAGAGAGTGTGATGATCACAGTCCCTGGGGTACAAACCTGGTGGAGGAAACTTTCAGCTGAGGTCTGGCGAAATCTATGAGGACGGCCCTGACTGGGTCCAAGTGGCCTGTGAGTCTTACATGGACCCTGCCTGCCATCCACTCATTGTGTAATTTCTAGGTCATGATTGCATTGGCCATAGCCTCTGTGCAGGGTGGCCCTGTGCCCTATGCAAGGTATGTTGGGAAGTGGCTTCCAGGAGCAGGGATGGGTGCTGATGTCAACAGCCATGCACCTGTGCCTGAGGCCCTGGACTTCCATGTTGGTTTTTGTTGCTGCTACACTGTGTTTTGGAAAGTATTTTGCTGTAGGAAGCAGAAGGTGGGTGGGCAATGGGTCAGACCTTGGAGTAACCATCCTCTCCTTCCTGAGACCAGCTCACACACCAGACCAGGGTCTCATTCTACCATCAAATGCCTGGGGGCTGAGGGGCACTGGGCCACCTTCATCCTGGGTTTGGGAAAGGGAAGGAAAGGGCTAGGAAAACACCAAGGATGACACTTGTTTGTCATGGAGTGCCTACTGTGTACCAGGGCCTGCTAGGCAAAGGTGATGGAGATGAAGAATTAGGGTCTGAGCCACTCAGTTCCTCCTCTTGCCCAGGGTAGAGAGAGAGGGAAGGACGGTGGGAAAACAGGAGATGGGGAAATTGTGAGAAGAAGAAATAGGATAGAAGGCAGCTAGGGAAGGCAAGCACTGGGCCATAAATTCATTTGGGTGTGTGGGTCTCATGGTTGGGGTGGAGGAGAGGGGAGGAGTCTGTGCCTACTATAAGAAGCTCACTCCTCTCTGCACACCTCTGCACAATCCCTGGCTAGGGGGACCAGTTTTAGGATATCACTGCACCCACTTGAGATGTCAGCAGTGGCTGGGACAAAGCTAGGAAGTGAGGCAGGGCTCAAACCCCAACTATGTCTGCATTGACCATGTGACATTGGCCAAGTGACTTTATTCACCTTCTGAGCCTCAGTTTCCTTATCTGCCACATGGCAATGGATCTTTGTAACAGTACAGGGGTTGATATATACATCAGATAAGAAATGCATATCAGTAGCACCTTGTAAATTGCAAAGTGCTATGCACATAATGTTACCCACAGGGTTTGTCCAAGGGAGGGTGAATGGCTCACTGTAATCCCCTATTCCCCCAGGAGCTCAAGAGCAGAGGGGATGCTGGGAAGGATGTCACCTTTCCCCAAGGTTGAGGACCCTTGTCTCTCCCTGGGGCAGAGGAGGCTGTGGGCTGACTCAGCCAAGCTCAGGGATGCCCTCAGTAGGCCAGCTTCTCCTCCACACAGCCCCTCTGCTGACTCAACCTTGCTCCTTCTCAGGGGGGGACCATCGCTACATGAACAACTACACTAACAGCTACACAAATGAGTGGAATGTGCCAGACACTATGAAGAGATACTCCATGTACCTCACACCAAAAGGTAAGGGTGAGTCTTACTACTCTGGGAAGGACTCAGCTGGATTCCATCTGGGTAAAGGGACTATCCTCAGTCTGCCTGGGGCTGTCTTAGCATGTACCTGTTGTCCTGATGGAACCATTAACAGTGCCTCCTCTTTCTCTCAGAAGCATCCTGGTTTCTGTGACATATTATCTGGCACCCTGCTCCTGAGAGGCTTCCTTGCTCTGTGACACAGGCAGCCCCCACCCTTCCCTCACCTCTAGCCCATACCCTTCCTTCTCTTTCCTTCCAGAAGGTCTCCTGGCTGCTAGTCTCACCCACTCCCATCTGCCAGACCAAGCTGTGTTTTGCTTCTTAGGTTTTTGTAGTCCTGTAAAAACGTTGGCTCCCCCAAGAATCATTCTGCTTCTCAAGGGCAGGGTGATTGATGGCTCTTCTCAATTTCTCACCATTCCCACCATATGTGGGCTGATATACCATACATCCTGGCCTTCTCAGCCCTCCTCCATGCCCTGGAGAGTCCTGTCCTGAAATGGTGACAGCCTGGGTGTGGGTGTAGACCAGTGTCTGCCTGTCTTTGCCTTATGGTAGCCTGTCACATTCTTTGGCACCAACAACAAACCACAACAATGACCAGTATATAAGGTGGGTGTGCCAGGCTCACCAACTTCTAGTGGGAGGAAGGTATATAGGCATGTGTTTTGTGGGGGGAGTCTGGAGAAGAGTAGGTTATGGGAAAAAGCAGAGAGGACACATGGAAAAGGCACAAGGGACTGAGAGAGGGGAGCCTGAAGTCCTCAGCACTGATTCACACACCTCAGACACACATACATTGGGAGGGACTTAGGGGTTTGTCGGGATGAGCTCAGTGGAGAGGAACCTCTGCTGCCCCACCCAATTTGAAAAAAAAAATACCTGAATTTCTGGTGGAGACCTGGCTAGACAGCTGGCAGTGGAGTTCCCCACCCCCACATTCCTGGTGTGGGGTGGCCAGTCCTTCCCCCTGCCCTTCTCAGGGTGCTTCCCTTTGTACTTATTCTGTGAGACCTACACTAAGCAAGCACCCTGGCATCCCTCACCCAGGGTGCCTCTTTTCTAGCTCTCCCATTCCTCTGAGGACCAGACACTGATGTGGCAGCAAGACCCCCAAATTGTCCCTGCTTTGCTCCCCTGTTCTGTAGAAGATTGGGGAGAGTATAGGCTCCACTGCAGGCTGTGAGGGGGGATGGAGAAAAAAGCACAGGCTCAACAAGATGTCACCTTGAGAGCATTGGACTGGTCATGCCCCCTCAGTGTTCCTATCTGAGAAGAGAGGATATTGGACTCACATGCTAGGAGAGCTTCCAGCTCTCTCAGTGGGAGTAAGGCTTTGACATCTGTAGATGAAAGAAACAGGTTTATCCAGTGTCTCTGCCCCTACCTTGGGGACAGGTGGGAGGAGAAAATTTGCCTTCTGGGAGCTCCCAGGCTCAGGGTTGAGGCAAAGGAAGGGCCAAGAGAGTCAGCAAAATCAGAAAAGAAGGCCACCAAAGGGCTACCAGCTTAAGTCTAGGAGATTTGGGGCAGTGGGATTGGGCAGTAAGGCTTCCCAGGAGAGGTTAGTCTCCAGGATCCTAGAAAGGGGGCAGAATGCTCAGTAAAGAGGGCATGGCTATGATGGCAGAGGACACTGGGGTAAGAGGAATGAGGAACTTTGGGTGCAAAGGTTTAGAGAAAGGACCAGTAATTGCTGGGCCAGGTGTGTTGGAACTCAAGAGGGGGGTGCTGATTAGGTGAGAGGGGCAGGCTGACACACATGGGGGGGTATATTTTCTTGGTTTATAAATTGGAGGTATATATCCCACTCTGCCATCCTTTCAAGATTGATATAAGAGCCCAAATTTGGGGGATGGGGGTGGTGGTAAACACCTGTGTAGTATAAGGCTCCCATACCTAGAGGGAATTATCTGGTTCATGTTCATGGGCACTGGCTCATCAAGCCCCTCACTTGTCCAAGGGCCCAGTGCCTTATGATTTCCATGGCCTTCCTTCCTCACAGGATCCCCATTTCCCAGTCTCTGGTTTCAGTCACATGGCAACTGGCTCAGGAAGGGAGTGCTGGCTTTTCTAGTCTCTGGTGATCCTCAGTGCCCGCGAATAGGGTAACCATGTGTATCAGTCTGTCCAGAACTGTCTAGGGTTATGCCTGGTGCACTTGGCATAATTATGAGTAACACCCTTTAACTCCTAAAATTGTTGCAATTTGAATAGTAAATTAAGTGACCACCTTCTTCTAGACCCAAAGGGGCTGTTATAATGGTAGAATCTATGTCCTGGGACAGGTACTGGGGGCCATTTAGGAGCAAAGAATCCTTCCTAACTGTCCTTCAAGTCCCCTATAGGCTCCCTATTGAGCCATACCCACCTTTCTGTGAGGACAGCCTATTCTGCTTTGCTTCATAGCAGGGGCTAGAACATCATACCAGCCAGTGTCCCCCAGCCGCCTCTCCAAGGAGATCAGCCAGAAGAACTTCAATAATCTCTATGGCACCAAAGGTAAGGGGGTGGCTCAGCTCGAGGGTGGGCAGGACTCTTGTGGGCAGGAGAGGGGAGTAGGCCCACAGGCAGAGGGGTTAGACTCCCCAATGTGAGGTGGATGTGGAGATCTGGGTTAGGGTTGTGAGCTCAGAGGTGGGTGGCGAGGTATAGCTTAAAGAGTATGTGTGTGTGCATGTTCATGTGTGTGCACATGTGTGACATTGTTAGGCTAGAGAAAAGGCAGCTAGGCACTGCAGCATCACTGGAATTCCACAAGTCCATGTGATCTCCTTGAAGGTTGCTTCAGGAGAACTGGAATCTGGGGTTAGGTGTGGAGGTCTCCCTCAATGAGTATCAGGGCATGAGATATATTTACTGATTTGTGTACTTCCTCATTGTAAAGTTGTCCAGTGGTTAAGACAAACTAGTGTAGCTATAGATGGAAAGGGTGGAATGATTTGGAATGGGCCCACCTTTGGAAATTGAGGAGGTATTGTTGGTATGTGAGGTGAGACAGTGACATGCCCTTAAGACCTATAGATATTAAGTAAAAGTGGAGGCCTGGTTTCCCCAGGGAAACAGGCCATATGCATGCCCTTTCTGCTCCCTAATACTAAAGACAGGACCATGGTGTTCAATGATCCCAAGCCCTGGGAGGCCCTGGTTCTACCCTGGGGGGGGCCTGATTCTACCCTGGGGGCTCCTTGGTACTTTCCAGCCATGTGCAGAGAAGGAGGGGACTGAGCCAGCTCCACCAGAGCCCCTACCTTAGACACAGCACCAGAAGGTCTGAAGAGGCAAAGAAGGGAGTGCTGGGGGTACTCTTCAGTGAGAACAAGGTCCTGGAGATCTGAAGGGTCAAGGGCACACATGGACAGGGCAATGCCCAGGCCTCTATGTCCAGGATTGGATTCACATTGTACCATCACATGCATGACTGTGATCTCTGTGAGGGCAGAAGCTGGGTCTGTCCTATTCACTGATGCAACTCCAGGGACTAGAAGAAAGGGCTTAGGAAACATGTGTTGAAAAAGAGTGAACAAATGAATGAATGAATGAATGAATGAAAGGGCAAAACATATGGCCCCACTACAGCCTTGGGTGGATATGCTCACTAAGATCCATGCTGCAGAGGCTTCCTGAGGACACTGTGGGAGAGGCTTCACACTGGAGCAGGTGGACAGCCCTAGCCATCTCTGACTGCTGAGCCCAAACATTAACCTGAGCCCATGCTGCAGGCAGCTATGGGAGAGGATTTCCAGGAATGGGAACTATGTCTGAAGTGAGCTTAATAAAGCTGCCCCAGACCTCCTGGAAGGAAAGGGCCAGAGAAGAGTGCATCATCCACAGGGGCCCTGAAGCTCCCCCACTCAAATGCCCTAGTGGTGACCATGCTGTCCTGGACATCCTTCCCACTGCCTCTTTCTTCTAGACTACAGGGACATGTTTGCAAATGGACATTTGTCTGCCTGTTTCACTTGATAAACAGAATTCCAGGACTTGTATCAGCTGCCTCTGTCCCTAAATTTTAACATGTGTTTGTATTTATTTGTTTGTTTGCTCATTCCTTCAACTGTCAACTATACAATGACCACCTTCTGGGAACCAGGCTCTGTGTCAGGCATGGGTGTGATGTTGAGCCAGATGACTAGACCCTCTGCCCCACCGTGCCCATTGGGGAAGACAGACAATTGAACGTGCCACTACAACCCAGGGGGCAAGGGGTGTGGGTGAGGTGGGGCATGGGCTGAGTTACACACAGATTTGGGAAGATTACATGGAAGCTGACACCTGAAGCCCTAACACATGAGTTTGCATGTACAGTGAGTACCCTAGGCAGAGGACCTGGTCTGTGCAAAAGCCTAGAGGCCAGAGAGCCTGGTATATGTAAGGAATGCAGAGTGCAGTCTGGGTGGAATGTTGGGCAATGGAAAGGATGGGAGAGATGGAAGCCAGAAAGTGGAGTCTGTGGTGAGGGGTGGGGGCAATGGCCCACGGAAGAGCTATAGGTTATGTATGATGGACTTAGAATCTTCATCTGATTACAGTGGATCCTTAGATAAGGCAGGGACACAATGACACTTTATACTTCACAAGGACAACTTTTATGGCAAGAAGGATTGGCAGGAAGCATGCCTGGGCTCAGAAGTATCCTGGTTTGAGACATGACAAGGCCTGGAGAGGCACAGAAATGGCTCAACCTGCCTCTGACCCCCTTGCCAGACTGCCTTGGCCTGAGGACCCTTCTTTCCACACCTCCAGGTAACTACACATCCCGGGTCTGGGAGTACTCTTCCACCTTGCAGAGCTCTGATGACCTACCTATGGCCCAAGGCAGCTCCTCCTTCTCTCTGAAAGGTGAGCTCTGTACCCCCTTCCCCCCACTGCTTTTCCTGTCACCCACCAAGCCCTGCATTTGTCTCTGCTCTTTCACTCACCAGTTCCTCACCTTGAAGGTGCAGAGCCTTGGACTGAAAGCCAGACAGCTGCCACTATCCATGTTTTCACTGTCAGGGACAGCTATATCCCAACAGCATTTCTCAAACTTGTCTCATCACAAACTGTTCCCTAAGGGGGAACGCTGTGCCCTGTGATAACAGGCATTGGCATCAGGGAAACAGGGGCATACCACACCTTATACAGCTGTCACCCCTGGTATCCCCAGGGTGCTTCCATCATGCCGAACTCCCCAGTCCTCCAACTTCAGAGTTTATTTAACTATGTTTACCCACTGACTTCTGGCCATGGTTGACTCTAGAACCCTGTGACCATATAACACCTGTCAAATTTCAAAGAGCCAGGTCCTGCAAAGCTTCTTTGGGAAAAGTGGGACTAGATGATCTCTCAGGCCTCCATGTCTGATTCTGTTCCTAGGACTCTTTGATAAGGCTGAGTAGTCAGTGCCTCCTGTTCCCTGTGGCTGGGTCATTTTGAGAGAAAGGCTTGAGCCAAGCCCAAGCTCACAGTGGAGCCTAGTGCCCTCATGTCTCTTTGGAAATGTCCAAGCGACAGTTCTGGTGGGTTGTAGTGAGAGTGACCCAGTTTTTCTTCTGGCACCTAAGATGTCTGGCCTGGAAGAAAGGATAAGCAGGTTGAGTGGGCTCAGGGAGGGGGGAAAAGGGATATTCAGGGCAAGCAAACCCCCAAGCAGAGGCCTCTGAAATTGGCTTTATCATCCAGTGGCCCCTTCCTAGCTGGGATCCCAGCCTATGCCCAGGACAAATATTCTTGGAATGATCAGAAAGGTGAAGGAGGAAGGAATATGACTAGAGGGTCCCAGCCTGCAGGAATCCCTGGGAAACTATAGGATTTCCTTGGTCTTTCTGGCTTCTAACAGATCCTAACCCCACTTCCCTCTGGTCAAACCCATGTCAAAAGCCACCCAGTAGGTGTGATTTAGAGCTTTCATATTCCTCAGTATCTCCCCATCAGCCTGCAGAGCCTCCTCTACAGGTCTTGCCTTAGGAGAGCACCTTCTCAAACACACCATGTCCTTCAAGAATAGCCTGGGAACATCTGCTGTCACCTTCATTCAGATCCATTCACCAAATCCACTGGGAATGGCCTTGGATGAGTGTTCTGGTCAGGGCTGCATGTGTGCAAGGAAAGCCCCCACCTGTGAAGACCAACCCACCCACACCCACTCCAGCAGCCCTGGGGGAGGCAGAAAGCATGAGTGCTGGGTGCTGGGCTAGGGCTGAGCAAGGGCTGTGGAATTGCAGCACCCCAAGATGAAATGTGACTCTCTCTGGCCCCTCCTGAGATCAGCATTGTGCTGCTAATACCTCTCTCTCTCCCATCAGGCACTGAGAAATTCCCCTATCAGTTCACCACCTTGGGACAGGCCACCACAGAGTTTTCCAAACCATTGGACACCAATGGGCTGTTTAAAAATAATTCTGGTACTTCTTTGTTTCCTTTCCCTCCTCTTTTTTCTACCACAGTGGGGAGGTGGGACAGCCTGTGGGACTCTCTGCCACTTCTAGGGTGTCCTGGTTCCTCTTGCCCAAAGCCCTTTGGAAGGTGATGAATGTCCCACTGCCATTGCTGGCTCCCCTCCCCTTTTCTTCTACCTGCTGCATAAGGCTGGCCTCCTGGACCCCCTCCACCCACCCCCATCCTCACCTCTCTTATGGCTGGCTGTTATGGGATTATCTTTCTGGGAATGGAGTGAGACCTGAATTCCCTCTCTCTCAGCTTCCCACTCAGGATCAGTACAACCCTCTCTTTCCAAGTCTGTCCATACCCAGATTCAGGGAGAGACCTGGGTTCTCTGCTTTGTCTCTGCCCCTTTGCCAAGTGCCAACCCAGGAATGGGCTAGCTGGCTGGCATCCTGGCAGTGCTGCAGGTGGTTTCTGGGTCTAACCAACTTATGTTTCTAAGAGCAGGACAGGACAGGACTCTAGGTGGCCCCAGCCAAGGACAGACCCTATAGATTTCTTAAGTTCCTCTGCATTCAGGTCACAGCCTTTTCTTTCCCTACAGGCTGATGGCTGACACTGAGTTCTTTTCACAGTTTTGTGGACCACAGCTCCTTACAGATCTCACTGGGGAGAAGTGGGGAGGTAACTCCGGGAGCCCCACCTTGTGCCAGTGTCAGGATCAGACCTGGACAGTGCCCAAATGCTCCAGACCCCTTGGGCTTGCTTAACCCTGGACCACAGCCACATGGCCTTCTCTGGGTCCCACCCTCCTGCTTCTGATGTAGGGGAAAGGCAGCAGAATTGGTCAGCAGGAACATGAGGGTGGGTTTTAGAGACCAGCAAAACCTGGGTTCAAATCCTGCTTATTAGCTGTGGAGCTCAGGGCAAACTGCTGAATTCACAGAAATAGGGTGGAGTCTCAACGAGACATTTGCAAAGTGCCGGCATGGTGCTTAGCATGAGTGGGGTCAATAAATGGGGAGCATCGTCCATGCACACTGGAGAGATGGAATGAGCACATCTAGGTGGAATCCTATTCCACCTAGGCAGATTATGCTTATGAAGTGGCTTTTCTGGGCTTTGGGGTGGGGGGGTCAGGGGTGTGAGTCTTCAGGATGGGTGGGGGAAATCCTGACCTAGATTTGGGGGTGACAGTCTTCTGCTGCCTGACTCAGCCTACCTGGCCTGCTCCTCCTCTTTCTGTCTGCCTTGAGGTCACTTCCCTTTGGCAGACCTCCCCAGGATTTCCCATTGTGAGACTCCAGCTGCTGCATGCCTCTTCAGGGATGGCTATACTTGCCAATGGGCTGGATAGAGTTCAGTGACCACTTTGGAGAGGTATCTGCACCCTGAAGGCTCTGACTGCCTGCCCATGGTTCCTATGACCAGAGTTTCTTGTCTCCCCAGGCTATCCCTCCCTCATGAGGAGCCAGAGCCCCAAGGTCCAGCCCCAGACTTGGAAATCTGGCAAGCAGACTTTGCTGGTGAGTGGGGAGTGATCAGAAGAGCCTGTGGACACAGGCATGTACAGATTGGACACTGAACAGGTCTCCCCAGGGACAATGACTTATCAGTTTCCTGGGTCATGTGGGAGGCTGGTAATGTGTTCAGACCATGGGATGGTAGGAGGAAGCAGTGGTGGCCTGAATACCTGCATAGACCTAAAGGTAGTAGAAACCCAGGGCTAATAGGCAAGGGGCCTGGGCAGCATGTATTTTTAAGCCTCAGTTTTCTAATCTGTAAAATGGGCAGCCCTGTTTGTTTGTTTTTTTAAATTCATTTGGCAAATAGTTGTGGGTACCTATGCTTGTTAAATGACGGCTTGGTTGCTGCCAGCTCTGGGAGTGTAAAATGCTCAGCCCAGGGGACAGGCATCCTAGAGATGAGTTCCATGTCCTTGGGACAGCACAGTGATGATTGGGGTGATGGTGGGGTGAGGAGAGTCTGCAAAGTTAGGAATAGATACATTCAGGTTTCGGTCGCTAATGATGCTGAGCCAGAGCCATTGAAGAGCAGCACAGAGGGAAGCAGAGCCTTGATGTTCAGCTACCTGCTGGCTGTGGGTCCTGAGCAAGTCAGATTCCTCTCTGAGACTCTGTTTCTTTACGTTTATAATGTGGTGCTGAGATGAGGTGACTCCAAGTACTCTATAGTCCTGACATGCCTGACTCTTGGCCAAGACCTCACCAATCAGGGACTTTCCTTCACAGGCTGTACCTCTACCCCGACAAATGCTTCTGTCAGGAAGGCCCAGGCCAGGCCCTGCTGAAGGATACCACCCAGATGTCCTAGGTGTGGGTGATATCTACTGAGGTTGAAGGGTGGAGCCCCTGGCTCCCTGCTGTCTTTGCATTTGGAGGTCAGAGCAGGAGGCGGTGATTTGATTGGGGCCACAAAGACTAACTGAGGCTGGTTTAGTTGGAGAGACTCTAATTTTCTGGCAACTGGAGCTATGTGATTGTATGTGTAACTTAGGGCTGGGCCCAGGGGCATTGTAGCAGCAGGACTGCACAAAGCAGATATGGAGAGAAAATAGGCACCTTCCATTCCCGAGCTCAGTCCTTCCCCTCTCTACCCCATACTTTCCCACATCCCTGCATCTCAGCAGAGAAGGCTCATCACCACCCAGAGATACCTGGCAAAGCAGGCTCCAGTGTCTCCAGCTAAGCATCCAGTTCTGAGAGAATAGAGGCAGATAGTAATATGCTGAGATGGCTGGCTGGAAGTCAGTGTGCCTGGGATCTGGTCCCAGCCCTCCCACCAGCTTGCTATGTGACCATGTGTGAGTCATTCTTCCTCTGTGCCTCAGTTTCCCCACCTGTAACATGAGTCAAATGGCTGGGATGATTTCATAGCTCTTCAAGCTCTCACATGCTATGACTCTGAACCAGAAAGGGTACAGGGGTGGGCAGAGCAAAGAGAGAGCATCCTTTCCAGATGCCATGGGCCTCTCTGTTTCTGCCTATCCATCACTCTGGTCTCCAAAAAAAGATAGCACTTTTCACTGACTTGGGTAAATTTACATTTTATTGACCCAGTCTTCCTGAAAGAAAGGCTATAGCCATTGTCACATCTATTTACTTTGCTTTGGGGTCCAAGCTGACACCTGGGGTTCAAGAGTACTGGTCCAGAGTGTGCCACCAAGTAGCTGCGTGACTTGGCCTGTGTCATTTCTTCTTTGGGTCTTCCTTTCTTCCTTTGTTTAGTAGGTAGTTTCACTGAGGTCTGAGCTAAGGTTTCAGTAGCTAAGGACACTGAGCCAGAGCCATTCCAGATGTCATGTCCTATGTCATCTCCTATGTCATGTCTATTATTCCAGACAGATATAGGAAAGAGGCTACTAGTAAATAAGTTTCTAGGCTGACAAGGGCAGGGGCTGGAGCACTCTTGATGTCTCCTGCATGAAGATCAGTCAGGTGTTTGCTGGGCTCAGTCTCTGTCTCAGCTCAGGGACAAAGCCACTCCTGGAGACTCTGTAGGGGTCCACAGTGCTTGTATTGGTAACCAGCAGCTAAAGTGTACACTTCTATTTCAGGCAGTTTCTCAGGGCTGTGATGAATGATTGGGAAGAGAGGGGAGTGCTGATTTTGTGAAGTTGCTGCAGAATATAATACACAGAGCTGGCAGGAGAGTTGTTGCTTGCTCCGTCCTAAGAAATCCTGAATAAGAAGTCAGGATGAGAAAAGAGGAGGGGTTGAGGTGGTCTGTGTTGGGCTGGGACAGTTGCTTGCCCTCTCTTCACCTCCCTGTCAAGGAGAATTATGCAAAGAAAGCAGAAGCAAACACTTGGAATTCTTGAGACTCAAGAAGTGGTTTGGGCAAATGGGTGGGGGTGGACTCTGGAGCTGGACTGCTGGGGCTGGTGTCCTGGCTCCCCTACTTACCAGCTAGGTGACCTCAGGCAAATTGCTTACCCCCTCTGTGCCTTGGTTTGTTCACCTATAAAATGGGTATGGTAGCAGTAACCCACTTAACTGGGTGGTTATAGAAATTCCATGAGTCTGTCTATATAAAACAGTGGTGTGTACTCTTCCATCAAGTAGAAAGCACTATATAAATGGGAGCTATAATAGTGCTGGGAGGGCCTTCCTGGGCCATGTAGAGAAAATTTGATGATGGGTCCAAGGTTCAAGCTCACCAATCAACTGATGGAAATAAACTCTAAGTAGGATTTGAACTTGGAGACTTTGATAACATTGGGCCTCAATCCTGATCACAGAGTAGATAGAGATTGCAGGTTTGGCCACAGACCCATAGAATTATTAAGGTTCAGACCACTGCTGCTTCCTGGGGGAGGTTAGAGTTGGGTGGGTCTGGCTAGTAGGCTCCATTGTCATCTGCCCTCTCTAACTACTCTTGTTCCCTGCAGCCTCATTACCGGCCATTCTACGTCAACAAAGGCAATGGGACTGGGTCCAATGAGGCCCCATGAGTTCCTGACAGGCAGGAATGAGGCACCACCACCCCTGCACTCCTAGCTGACGCTGCTGCTCTTGCTGCTGTTCTCATTTGGGTTGGAAGAAGACCAGTCCTGTGCCTGCTCTCCCTGAGCCCTCTCAGGGCCATCCTGGCCTCCCCATACCTTCCCCATTAACCACAGTCCACCCAGGCCACTCTCTGGTTTTGAAGCTTCTAATTGTTACCATTTTTGTTGTGCTCAGAAGTCACGCATCACAGAGGTGTGAGATAAATGGACTTCTTTCCCTTAACCCACTAGCTCTCTCTTCAGTGGGATTATTGGGGCTAGCAATGGGTGACCACATAGCACTAGTTTGCCTTTTCTGCCCATTCCTTTTCTGTCTTTAGGCCTGTTGACCATTTCTCTCCAAAGACCCTTGTCCCATTATGCACACAGTATATGCCTGGCCAAGACAGTTGTTCATCTCCCATCCACGTGGGCCCACATTTTTTCCCTAGCAGCATTGCCCCATCAGGAGAACACTGGTTGTTTGTGCCCTGCTCTGGTCCTACCTACAATGCCCAGCCTGGCAAAACCTGCAGCTTTTGGCCACCACAGAAGGAAACATCTCAGCATCTTGGAATCATCCTTCCTAGCCTTGGGTCTCACTACATCCACCTTGAGTCTACAGTCCCTAAGGGCAGGCTTTCCTAGTTGGTAGGATGGCCTTAGTCAAAATAATCCTCTCTTCTACCTGCTGAGATAAGCAATTCCCTTGACATGATACCAGTGAAAATAGCTTCTGGTCCAACTTTCCTGAGGAAAATATTATTTAGCTATAGAATTTCATTACTTTTATAATTTTGAATTCTTCTGGCCATGGGAAGTGAGCATGACAGTGAAAGTGCGGGTGGGCTGGTAACTGCCAGTGCTGTTTAACAGGGTGCCTAATAAACCTGCCCCACCTCCATCCACTGCCCCATCAGTCTTCTTTCCTCTGACTGCCCTCCATGCTGCCATGAGGAGCCTACAGAGGAGACCAAACTAAGAGCAGCTTGGTGGGGGCTCTGGGGAGGCTGGGCCATTTTGCAGGGGTGGGACAGGGAGGGAGATATTTAGCTTAGGCTTCCCCTGAATAAACCATTGATCACCTACTTCTTCTGTATTGAACAAGTGTTTCCCTCAAAGTCACCAGCGGGACAGGCTGCAGTTCCTCTAAACACACTGCCCAACTCTGACAAGTATGTGATCATCTTTCCTCCTTCATCCAAAAGAGGTGGCTCCTCTGAGTATCCCTTCTACCCTACCACCCCCACCTGAGTCCCTGGGATGCAGTGCAGGAGCCTAGACCTTTCTGAGGCAGGCCTCAGTTAACAATGAGGACAGTGGCATGGGGTCCTACAATATGTTGACTACCCTGAGGGCTGGGTGCTCAGAGCCCCTGTCAGACTCCCCTGGAGCCTCCAGAAGAGAGCAGTGTCCAAGAGTGGCCACTCATAGGCCGGAGTGTGGACTGAGAGACTTCTCAGTCCTGGGGAGGAATCCCTGAACTAAGGGCTCCTGGGATCCTGAGGGCAGCACCATACTGGACTTGGGGCATGGGGAAAGGAAATGAGACCTCCCAGTCCCTGGAAGCCCAGAGAGGCCTGGAGGGGCAATCTGAGGAGACTTCCTGGAGGAGGCAAGCAAGACAAGAGGAAGTATTAATGAACAGGGAGAAAAGAAGGTAAAAGAAAACCATACTCTTTCCCCTGGTGTGGCCAGGCCCTTCCATGCCTCCTCCATTCTTATATCCTTCCTTGCTCTGCTTTTTACCAGAGGCCTAATGACACCAGGAAGCAGCCCCCCCACCTTGTGAAGGTACCTAAATGGCCTCACTGGTGGTTCATCATGGAGGGACAACAACATTTCCTCCTTCCTCACCCTGCCTTGCCAGCTTCCCAGAAGAAGTCTCCTTGGAATCAGGAAAAGGAGGGGAAAAATTGATAAGAAGAGGGAGACAGAGGGAAAAGAATGGAAAGAGACGAGAGGAAGGTGAAGGGATCTAGTGCATCCTTGGAGGGCCTTCAGGCACTGTCTGGATGAAGAGGTACCACAAGTGAGGAGGCTTAGCCACCTCAGTGCCCTTCCTTGGGAGCTGGGAGCACAATGTCCCTGGGCTGGCGGGTGCTCTCCATGGGCCCCCAGTGCCCTGTAGCCTTCCTGATCTTAATTAGGACCTATAATCACTGGGTCCATAATGGTGAGGAGGGCCATACTGCTGGCCTTCAAGGATACCAGATTCTCTGAAAGAGGCCCTGGCTGACCAGAAGAGGGAGATGGACAGGGACCCAGGTTTGGCTGAAAGTCAAGGGCAACTGGATCCCTGCCTGTCCTTAGCCTGGGCTTCATCAGGAGTGGTCATCTGCAGTGTGGAGGCTAAGAGAGTGGGAAGGTAAAACAGCAGTGTCTAGAGGCCCTAGACCTTCTGCTGGGGCCTGAGTGGGGACATCCCTAAGCATTGCTTTCTTCCCATCAATGCCTACCAGTTCTATTAATGTTGGAGCTGTGATTATAAAGCAATCAGGGGAATCCTTTATCCTGACTTTTTAGAATGCCTCCCTCCTCAGCATGAGTGAAAACACTGGAGAAGGGGCGAGGTCAGGTGGGGAGGCAACTCTCCCCTGAATGAGAGAGAAAGAAAAGAAGCAGACTCCGTTTCCATTCTCATCCTTCTCAGGCCCAACAAAGTTCTGGTCCATGCTTACCTGTGTCATGGCCTCACCCAGCTCTGGGCTTTAGGCAACTCCAGGAGTGCTGTGGGTAGCCCATTGGCAGATTGGAAAAGACCCACTGGGGTCTGGATTGGAGAATGAGGGAGGCAGAGCTGAGACTCATCAGAGCCCTGGCCAGGTAGTTGGGAGTTCTCTTCCTGGCTCAGTCACTTTGGGCTGTGTGAGCTGGGCAAGCTGCTTTTCCTCTCTGAGCCTGACCTTCCCTATCTACAAAATGAGATGTTTTCACTGGATCATTCCTGAGGCCCTTTCCCAGCTTCAATAGTCTATGGGGTAAAGACTACAGTGAATGTTGTTGGAAGGGACTGGAAAATTGAGCTTGGCCCTAGGTTGGGTCTCCATGAGAAGGATGGGGTTGAGAGCCAGATGGATTGGACTCCCAAATCCCTGAGGCTCTGCTAACTCAACTCAACTGCCTTACATCCCCTTTAGATCTTGATGACTCTCAGGAGTGTGGGTCCTATCCAAGGTTCTGCTTTGGGCCTGGATCTTTAGGGCCCACTGAAAGATGGATTCCATGACATAAGGATTTACTCTGTCTTGTTTTCTTAGAATGGTGCAGGAACATGAACAGGGCTTGGAGGCTGGAAGCAGTTATCTTGGGAAAAGGTGGTGGGAGCAGAGGGTGAAATAAACAAAAGGGGAAATGGGGGATTCACAGTGAGTGGGTAACTGTGACACTTCAATGTGTCAGCTTTTGAGTTGGAGTACAGGGTTTGGAGCCAGACTGCCTGATTTAGAACCCTGACAGTACCACTCACCAGCAGTGTGACTTTGGGCAAGTCTGTAAGAGGGTAACATCTTAAAGGATTATTGGGAAAAAAAACAACAGTGCGTGCAAAGTACCTGGCATAGGAAGCACTCAGTAGTTGAGACACGACAATATTACTACTATTGTCAAATCCTCAACAACGATAATGACAACATCTCAACTTGGGACCAAATTTGGTTTTTCCATCTTTGTAACCTTCCGCATTTGAACAGGAAAAACCCAGTGGGGGCAGCTGGGTAGTTTCCCATCTCCTTTCTAACTGGGGGAACGAGCCCCAGGGCCTCCTGTGGTTTTGAGACATGACCAGCAGATGGAAGCACTTCACTGCAGTCAATGGGCACTAGCCTCTCTCCCCTAGCTCAACAATCAGGATGGGCCACAACCCCCTTCCATAAGGGTGGCCCTTTTCCCCCTATTTCTGCATAAGCTAAATGGACCTAATTGTTCTAGGCTGTGCTGTGTGTGACAACAAGGTAACAGGCCCCAGATGAACAGAAATGAAGGGCTTGCTGTTCACCCCAAGCACTGCCTAACCTGGCATGGAGGCTGCACAGTGCATGGAGGTTGTAGGGTGGGCTCTCTGTGGATGGGAGGGTGGGCCTGAAGAAGAAAGCTGAGTGGGAATGTCAAGCTCAGTTCTGCAGCCTCTGAAGGTTGTGGGGAGGAGATTCTGTACAAGGCACATGAAGTAAAGTGGGAGATGGAAAAGCAGAGTTCCTTAAAATTTAAGAGGTAACTGAGGGGCTACAAACTGCAGGACCCCTTGAGTTCCATTATTCTCAGATCTCCTACTTACAGAACAGGGAAATTTACACCTTCTTTCTGACTGACAAAGTAAAGAGGTCAGATGGATAAAACTGAAGCCCCTGGAATAACTGTTCAGAAGGGGTGGGTGGAGGCCAGCTCTGGCCTTGTTTTCCTACCAAACCCTCCAGTCATCACCCAAGAGTGACCAAGAAAGTTTTATCTCCATGAGTATTGACTATTAAGTTTAAAAATAAACTATTGTTCATCCACAGAAACTGGAGATAAATGCAAATCTCTGGGAGGGTGTGACAACTCCTGGTTCCTAAGTTATCACCCTTGCCAAGGCTGAGGCTAGGAAGAAGAAAAGGGAAAAAGGGGGAGTAGGGGACAGGATGCTGGGACACACTAGACCCTCTTTCAAGAGAATGTAACAATAGGGGATGGGCAGAAACTCCTCCTCAGCTGCCTAGAATGACACACTGGGTTCCCAAGGCTCTCCAGGGAGGACAAGAGCCAGGAGAAGGAAAAAGGGGAGGTGGTCTTTGGCTGCTTGTGGTTGTTAATAAATTAATCCCAGGTGGACAAATAATATGTTCTTCCCTTGCCTTGGTGCTGGCCAGTTTTTCTGAGGTTGGTTCCATCCTCATGTTAAGACCCATTATGTTAAGCGAAATAAGACAGGTGGTGAAAAACAAATACCATATGACCTCACCTTTAACAGGAACCTAATCAATAAAACAAGACCCAAACAAGCAAAATATAACCTAAGACACTGAAACAGAGAACAGTCTGGCAGTGACCAGAGGGGAGAAAGGAAGGAATTTCAGGGGAAAAGGGGAAGGGTATACAGGGACAAATATAAAGGACACATGGACAAAAACTAGGCGGGGAATGGGAGGGAGGTGGGGAGGGATGGGTGGGTGTGCTGGGATGGTAGTAAATGACAGAAAACTGTACTTGAACAATGATTAAAATAAATTAAAAAAAGACCCTCCATGGGGCTGAACTGATGGGCTGCAAACCCCATGACTGATTGGCAACTGGTAGAAGCTGAATCTAGCCTTCAAGAGCCCATCACCAAAAAGAATCACAATTATTCCCTGAGATGTGAGATTGTGGGTCTTTTGTGGGGAGCTGTCTCGAGGAAGGGACTGAACTAGATAATCTGAAGCTCAAGAGTGGGTCCACTGTGCATGCCCAGGTGAGAGAGGAACACAGATGTCCTGCAGAAGGCAAGAGTGAGAATTTATGTGAAGGCAGGAGAGGGGAGAGGGCTTTTCTAGTTATGTGGAATACAGGAGGCACAATCTACTGCTTTTCATGGAACTTACAATGGTCAGGGGGTAGAGGATGAAGTCGCTAGTGAACCCATGGGCTAGTTTAGATGGGCATAGTGCCCCATAGAGCACAACACATTGTGATGGTGGAAGGGCAAGGGAGGTGGGTTCTCTTCTGACAAGGGCACATCTGTGTTGAGACTAGTGAGGAGAATATCTGGGGGTGAGCAGATCCAAGCAGAAGAACCTGCCCTGGGGAGTGAGTTCTGTGTACGTGAGAAGGGCAGGGTCTAGCTGGACTGGAGGATGGCGAAGAGGGGATGATAGACAGCACGAGGTGGGCAAGTCTGATCACCTCATAAAGGTTTTACTATAAATGCAGTAGCTGCCTCCACAGGAG